TGTAGCCCCCTAAGTTCTTCCTGCTCTGGTTCTCTTCCCAGTACATTGTTGTTGCTGTGATTCGTCCACCTTTTGTCAATTTCGTCATGTGAGGGGTAGACCTGTATAAGCTGATCCATCACCCCCAGGACAAAATGTCCTCCACACTTGACTTTCTACATGCAACAATTTTCCTTGGTGATTTTTTCATATAAGTGCATATACAGATCCCTCAGTTATTTAATGCCTGTATTATATTACATTATGGATGTAATTGACTTTAGCATTTCTCTTCTATGGGGAAGTTATTTGCCAGTATTCTGAATATCCTTGAGTGCATTTAATATATCCATGTACAGGAGTGACATCAACATCATGGCGGCATAATATATCCCTACCTTTTAACAACTAAATATTGTCATCCGTCCATGAACAAAAATACCTCTGTGGGGGTCTGCGGGGTCCAGCACCATATACCTATGAACCTGGGAGGACTCTTGTTCACCTGCACACTGGGTAACAGGCCACAGACCTTGCTGTGGGCCACAGGACTCACAGAAGCCAGCAAACCTTCCCCGAGCTCTCAGCTGTGTGGGGGGAAACCTGGACATTGTGGACCTGGGAAGACACCCACCAAGAGAGACTTTATAGAAGCTCAACCTCCCCAAGGGGAAATTCCAGCATTGCACTGGAGAAAACAAAAATGAGTTTGGATACATTGAAGAGGGTAAGAGGAGCTTTGCCAGTGCTGCCCCTCCCCAAGGTGGCACAGCGCAGGGCTGAACCAGCTGATGACGGCCTCTCTTTCGGGGGAGGGAGAGCCCAGAACGCGTGCTCTGCTTCCCAAGCTGCGTGGAAACCCATTCTCTCCAGCAGCACTCGGTACTGAGGCAGGACCTCCATGACCGTGAGGAGAAGACTGGGAAAGAGACAGGTAAGGACACCAAGGGGCATTAAGGGCACAAGGATCCTGCTGACTGTGCTCAGGAATTCAGTAGGAAGTCTGCTTACAACTCCCTGGAAGAACCTCACCTGAGCTTTCAGTCAAAAGCTAGAAATGATGAAACTTAGTGAGCAAAGCATGTCAAAAGCCGAGAGAGCCCAAAAACTAGACCTCTTGCACCAAACAGGCAAGTTGAGAATGCAAAGGAAAAGCTCTTGGAGGGAATGAAAAGTGCCACTACAGTGAATACACAACTGATAAGTGAAACAGCCTTGTTGCTGATATGGGGAAAGTTTAAGTGGCCTAGATAGAAAATCAAACCAGCCACCACATTCCCTCAAGACAAAGCCTAATCAGAACAAAACCCTAACTCCACAATTGTTTGAAGGCTGAGGGAGGTGAGGAAGATGGCAGAGGTTGTTTCATGAGGTTTAAGGAAGGAAGCAATTTCCACAGCAGAAAAATACCAGGTCAAATAGCAAGTGATATAGAAGCTATAGCAAGTTATCTAGAAGATCCAGCTGAGATAATCAGTGAAGGTGACTAACTAAACAACAGACTTTCAGTGTGAATGAAACATCCTTCAATTGGAGGAAGATGCCATCTGGGACTTCCATAGCTGGAGAGGAGAAGTCAATGCCTGGCTTCCTTGCTTCAAAGGTCAGGCTGACTCTTTTGTTAGGGGCTAATGCAACTGCTGACTTTAAATTGAAGCCAATGCTTGTTTAACCTTTCAAAAATCCTAGGGCCCTTAAGAATTATGCTAAATATACTCTGCCTGTGCTCTGTAAATGGAACAAAGCCTGGAAGACAGCACATCTGCTTACAATATGCTTAACTAAATATTTTAAGCCCACTGTTGAGCGCTACTGCTCAGAATAAAAAATTCCTTCCAAAATATTCCTGCTCAACGGTAATGCACCTGCTCACCCAAGAGCTCTGATGGAGATGCACGAGATTAATGTTGTTTTCATGCCTGATAACACACAATATCCATTCAGCAGCCCCTGAATCCAGGTGTCATTTTGACTTTAAAGTCTTATTCTTTAAAAATACATTTATTAAGGCTATAGCTGCCATAGATAGTGATTCCTCTAATGGATCTTGGCAAAATAAATGGAAACTCTTCTGAGAAGGACTCACCATTCTAGATGCCATTAGAACATTTGTGATTCATGGGAAGAGGTCAACATTAACAGGAGTTTGGAGGAAGTTGATTCCAACCCTCATGCATGGCTTTGAGGGGTTCAAGACCTCAGTGGAGGAAGTCCCTGCAGATGTGATAGAAACAGCAAGAGAGCTAGAATTAGATGTGGAGCCTGAGGATGGGACTGAATTGCTTCCATCTCATGACAAAATTTTAATGGATGAGGAGTTGCTTCTAATGAATGAGGAAAGAAAGTGGTTTCTTGAGATGGAATCTGCTCCTAGTGAAGGTGCTGTGAAGCTTGTTGAAATGACAGCAAAGGATTTAGAATATGACGTGAATTTAATTGATAGAGCAGCAGCAGGGGTTGAGAGGACTGACTCTAATTTTGAAAGAAGTTCTACTGGGGATAAAATGCTGTCAAACAGCAGCACCCGCGACAGATAAATCATTCATGAAAGGAAGGGTCAATCAATGAAGAAAACTCCCTTGTTGTCCTATTTTACGAAATTGCTACAACCCACCCTCTCCATCACTGTGATCAGTCAGCAGCCATCAACACCAGGGGAGGACCATCCACCAGCAAAAAGATTACGACTTGCTGAAGCTCGGGTGATGGTGACCATTTTTTAGCAATAAAATATTTTTTTAGTAAGGTATGTACATTGCATTTTGGATATAATGCTATTGCACATTTAATAGACTGTAGTACAGTGTAAACATAATTTTGATATGCACTGGGAAACCAAAACATTTGTTCGACTTTCTTTATTGTGATATTTTACTTCACTGCGGTGGCCTGGGGTGGAACCCCCTGTATCTCTGAGGTCTGCCTGTATTCCGTTGTATGAATATTCCATAAGGAATTTACTTTTCTCTGATTGCTGATCATTTGTATTGTCTGCCACGTTTAGCCACTAGTAACAGTGCTGCTATGAACATGGAGTGTCTAAACAAATGTTTCTCTAGGGACTGTATCTTGAGATGCAATTGTTCCATCATAGAGGAAGGGCATCTTCAACCTTGCTGTTTCCCAAGGCGGTTGCAGGTTGCTGCAGTGACCCTGACATTTTCTCCACTCTATCCTTGTCCCTTGCAATGTGTTTGCAGTTCCTCCCCTGAACAGGTAGAGTCTATTGTTTCATCCCTGAAATGTGGGTGTGCTGTTCTTTATCTAGTAGAATGCAGTGGAAGTGATGGTGTGCCAGTTCCAAGCCTCTGAGCTCATCTGTGCGCTCAGAAACTTCCACCGCCATGTGAACTGCCCAGGTTAATCTGTGGGTAGATGGGACACTGTAGGGAACAGAGAAGAGCCATCCAAACCAAGCCCCATTCTATTAGCTTCTTATTGCTGCCTTAAGAGAATACCAAAAACTCAGTGGGTAAAGACGATAGAAATTTATTATCTTACAGTTCTGAAGTTCAGAAGTCAAAAATGGGTCCCTTCTGGAGGCCCCTGGGGAAATATCCATTCCTAGCCTTTTCCACCATCCCGAGGTGCCCACATTCCTTGGCCCAGAGCCCCTCAATCTTCCAAGCCAGCAGTGCAGCAGCTTCCCATCTCGCCCTCTCTGACCTGTGCTCTTGTCATCTCACCTTCTCTCTCTCTCTCCTGCCGTCTTACTTCCTTTTAGGAACCGTTGTGATTGCATTGGGCCCAGCCAGACAATCAGGTCAACCCTCCATTTTCAGGATCTCTGACCTAATAATCTCTGTAAAATCCCTCTGAGACTCAGCCTATCTGATACAAACCTGCTATTCTTTTCTAAGTTTCTTACTTTGAATCCTTTCTCATTAATTTTGAGCCTATTTTCCTTTTTGATAGAGCATATGTGATTACATTTCCTCTAAATTCCACCGACATGCCAAAAATTTTGATATGCAATGTTTCTATTATCATTCAGTTCTAAACATTTAAAATTTTCCATTATTAATTAATTGGTCTTTGGTCTATGAGTTGTGTGGTTTTGAAATTTCAAAGCATGTTTTATTTAATTATTTTATTATTTATTTCTAACTTAATTGCACTGAAATCAATAATGTGCTCTGCATAGGAATCAATTCTTTTAAAGTTACCTAGACTTGCTTTGCAGGGTAGCATGTGATTAATTTTCTTAATAATCCCCGGCATACTTAAATATACTATATATCCTCCAATTGTTGAATGCCATATTCGAAATTTGTCCATCAGCTCATGCTTGTCAATTGTGTTGTTTAAAATTCTATATCCTTATTTCCTATGTCTGCTTGATCTTTCAGAGAGAAAGGTCTTAAAATTTTTCTCTGTGAGGATTGATTTGTTAATTTTTCACAATTTTGTCAACTTTTGCCATATAAATTTCCAGCTTCTGTTATCATGTGTTAGTTTTCTATTCTTCTGATAAACTGGGCCTTATTATGTAGTGACCCTCTTTTTTGCTTTAAAGTCTACTTTCTCTCTCCTATTAGCTTACATTCAGTGAGTATTTGCTTTCTGTATCTTTTTACTTCCAACCATTCTCTGTTTAGGGTTATCTATAATAAATAACATGTGTTTGATTTAAAAGAAAACTGACAGTATTTGTCTTCCTATTATCCAATTTTAGTATATTTTAATTTATTGTTTTATTACATCTAAATTTTCTGTTTGGATTCTATCATATTATTTTATGTTTTTTGTCCTGAGTTTTCTATATACTTTTTCTTTTCTTGTCTTATTTGGGGTGATTTTGTTTTTTCTCTTTTCATTTGTTTCTAATGAAATATTCAGAAACGTATCCTCTTTTTATCTGATTTTTTAGCAATTACCTCTGTCAAACATTTAACATGTTCACTTAACAAAGTCTTAGTTTAATATTTCTACCCTCCTTCTAAAGACCTCTAGAACTTTAGAATGATTCAAGTGCATTTATGCTCCCCCCAGCTCATATGCTATTTTTGTGCTGTACTTTCTTCTTTTTTTTTTCTAGGCCCCCAAATTAGAAACTTTTATTGCTCTTATGTAGTCAACCAGACCATGATTGTTCATATTTACACACATATTTTTTCATGTTTATTTCTCACCATTTCTTCATGCATCACAAATCTTAAATCTGGAATAATTTTTCTTCTTCTAGAAATACATCCATTAAAATGTCTTTAATGTGCATTTGTAGGAATATTGTTTTTGGGTTTTGGGTTTTATGATGGTCTTTATTTTGCTCTCTGGAAAGGCTATTGTCCTGCATATAGAATTTCAATAGTTATTTTCTTACGTTACATTGACAATATTATTTCAGCTCCTGTAGGGTTTCACTGCTTTTTTTTTTTTTTAGAAGTCAGCTGTCAGTCTAAATGCTGTTCTTTTATCTCTGCCTGCTTTAAATGTCTTGTTTTTATATTTGATCTCCTACAGTTTCACAAGATGTGTTTCAGGTCAATTATTTGTCATTTATCTTATTTGTAACTGGCTGGAGTTTTTGGACTTGAGGTTTGATGTCTTTCAGCAGTTCTGAAAAATTATCAGCTGTTGTCATTTCAAATAGTCCTTCCACATTTTCTCTATTATAGTCCCAAATTAGATGTAAGTTCGTCTTTTCTATTCTGCCTCAGTGTCTCTTACTCTCTCTTTTATATTGTTCACATTGAATTCAAATAATGTATTTGAACCTATCTTCCAGTTTGCAGAATCTCTCTCCAGTTGTGTCCATTTAAGTATATGATTTAACCCATTGTGAACAGTACCCATGTTTTGAAATACTGATGATTATATTTCTTTATTTCTAGAAGTTCTATGTAATTCTTTTCCCAATCTGCTTGGTTATTTTAAAAATGTGTTGTTTTTTTACCCATATTTTCATGTGTTAAAATGTATGGAACATTTTCTATTACCCAAGTGTCTGATAATTCAAGGAGCTGCAGTCCAGTGTGGCCGTCTTGTTTCTCTCACTCTCAGTCACGGCGCCTTAATCACCTGTGTGGTTTTGTGGGTTTTGACTAAGTACAACTCCTTTTCTTTGGGATTCTTTTACTGTCGAAATTCTTTGAGATCTGAGTTTACAGCTCACATGCTCCAGAAGAGTCACACCCACCACACCACCACAGACTGAAGATTTTGGCCACTGAGATAATTTGAAACCTAGTTATAGTCCCTGTCCAACAGGTGGCTTCAACTCAAAAATTCTCAAGGAATTTTCTTCCTCTTCTGAAGGAACCCGAGTCAGGGCAGGTGGTCCCCTTGCTCTTAACTGTTAATTGTCCTTGTCCTGAGACCTTAATCTGCAGGGTGCCAGCTTTATAGATGCCTCCATGACACTCCTCACTAGAGGTGGATCCCAGGTTTGCTGTCCTCCCTCCCATATCCTGAGGTGCTGCCCTAGTGGAGTTTCATGGTTCCCTGATTCAGACATCTTTGGCTGACTTCACATACTCCAGCTGTCAGGAATGCTTTGGCTTCAGTGTGTTTGTCCACACTGTTTGTCCATGGTGTTGGTCAGTGGCTGCGGAGGGTGTGGGGGAAACCCCTGGACGGGCACAGGCGAGACCTCATCCCAACTTTGACCGGAATGCTGCTGAGTCACCTGTACGCACTTCCATTTTCGAGTAGTTTCGGTGTCACTAGAAGAGAGCTTTCTCTTTGTTAAAGGGGTTGACAGGCTGAACACCATCAACTGAGGTCATCTTAAAGGTCCTGTCCCACGATGATGTGTCACAGTTTGAGGAGATGGCCATAGGTGGATGCGGATGCATCCAACATAAAATTTTTAACTTCATCCTGCCAGACTGTGAAGTCTGTTCTGAGAAATAGCAAAGATGTCAATGTGCCTCCTGGAAGAGAAGTGGCCCCGGACCATCCCCAGAAGCTGCCGGTAGCGGAGTGTGTACAGGTAGGGGAGCATCGCACGGGGAAGCATGGTGAGTACCTCACTGTTGGCTGCCATGAGCCACATGTGTGTCCTGGCACTGATGTGGTGGTACTTGGTCAGCACAATGTCCAGGGAAAACACCACCACTGGGCTGACATACAGGGCGATTAGCACTGTGTGGATAAGCAGGGTGCCCCTGGCCCGGGAGTAGCCCTGCGCCCAGGTACCTGAAGTCCTAGCTTCTGCGTAGATCCTCCAAAAGCAGTAGGTGATGAGAGCTGTGCATACAAAGAGAACACACAAGATGCAGGTGTGGGTGGCAGTGAGCAGGGGGGCGCCGCCAGGCTCCGTGGCCAGGCTCAGCCTCAGCATGCATGGGGGCTCCTGCTCCTCCAGCCTGGCATCCTGCCGCTTGCTGAGCCACAGGAAAAATGTGGGGAAGAAGGAGGCCACCAGCCAGATGAGGGCCACTGCCTTCCGCGAGGCCTCACAGGAAATGAAGGAGGGGTAGCGCAGAGGACAGGCCACTGCCAGGTAGGTGTGCAGCACAGTGGCCACAAAGGACAGGATGGTGCTGTTGTAGGCAACAAAGATGGCATCTGAGAGGATGCCACAGGCGATGCGGCCCAGGGCCCAGCTGCCCAGGTTGCTGGAGGAGATAATCAAGTGGAAGACCAGGTAGGCCAGATCCGAGAGCAAGATGTTCGCCAGCAGCAGGTAGTGGGGCTCCCGCCGCAGCCTCTGGCTCCGTAGGATGGTCACCAGCAGCAGGGGGCTCAGAGCCAGTGTGGCTGCAGCCAGGAAGCCGAAGGGAAGGAAAAGCCAGCGCAGCTCAGAGATGGGCAGCCTGAGGTCTCCAGGACGCAGGGAGGTGTTGCTGGCTGCCTGGGGCAGGCAGGGGGGCTGGCTGATGAGCCGGTCGGAGGCTGGCCAGGCTGTGGTGCCCTGGGGGCAAGGTGCCAGCTGAGCCTCCATGCCCCTTGGCAGGAGTGGCAGGCTGTGGTACAGGCAATTGCTTTGGTACTTGCTCAGGGTGCAGCACTCCCCTGCAGGCGTCCTTACTAGCACTGCGTGCAGAGATGCCGGGCTCGGGCAAGCCTTGGGAATGACTGTGCGACAAAAATAAAACAGCAGTGCAAGATTCTGCTCACACATAGCTCCCTGCGCTCATGAAGGTTCTCTGCGGCCTGGCTGGCTGTGTGTATGTGTGTGGGGGTATACCTAAACAGATCTGCCCGTTGCCGTGATTCATTGAGAGCTCTCCCCTATCTCAGTGTCCCCCAAACCTGTGTGGTCGGCTAGCAGGGAGTATACAGCTGGGTGAATATTCACACACTGATGGAACTCAGGGGCTGAAGCTGGGCTGTCCTGCCAGAAGGGAAGGAGCAACTGTCTGGGAGCTAGGACTGCCACACTGTGGACATGGGGCTGCACGTGACAGGGGCTCAGGAGATGGGCCAGGCTGGATGGGGCTGGGTCTGCTCACTCACAGCATTCCTCAGAGAGCCCTGCGGTGTAGCCCTCAGGTGAGGGGTGCCCTGTGTGTATGTGTGTGTGTGTATGTGTGTGTGTGTGCATGTGCGTGTGTGCGCACGTGCTGCACACCCCTGTGCACAGGACTCCACCTGAACAGCACCCAGCCACCCTGTGTGGTGGCACATTCCTTGCTGAGGTCTGGCAGACAAAGGCCACATAGAAGCTGGGGGAGAAGCAGAAAGTGGGGAGACAAGAGCATGGGGGGGCTCGTGGGTAGCTGGGACACCTCGGGATGCCCAGGGATGTGGACAGTTGTGTGCACTGAGCCAGGCCCATGGTAGGGAGATGGTGAGGGCAGCTCTGGTGAGCAAGCTTCTGGTTTTGAGGTCCTGAGAAGTTGTGCTCACCTCCCTACATTTCTTTCCTCATCTGGGCGACATGCATGTCACCCATGCAGACCTCATGGAAATGTCACAAAAAGCCTGAGTTCATGTGCTCGGTGTAGTGTGCACCGGTATGAGCTGTCCCTTTGCCCCCACCACTCTCAGCCGCTCCCTTCCGCACCTGTCCTCCCCACTGCACAGCCCCCCTAGGCCTCACCTCAGGAGCTGCCCTAGCTGCTCTGGCCCCCTGGGCCCCCTGATCCCGGCTGCCCGCACCACCCCTCCTCCCCTCTCCATGCACCCTGCTCCAGCCTTCACTGCATGTTAGTGGGCGGCGGGGATGGGGGCAGGGACGCTGCCGTGAGGCTGGTGCCTCCCTGAGCACAAGCAGAGTGTCTTAGGATCAGAGGCAGGCAGGAATCTCACACACGGAGCCATGAGAGGCCCGGCCTCATGTCAGGAATACCCACTGGCCCAGAGCCAGCAGGCACGTACTGGAGCCCTGCCCCATCCCCCAGCCAGTGGGGGACGGGGGTGCTGCCTGCTGCCCCCCTTCCTGTGCCCGGGGGTGTCACACCGCCTGCAGGGGATGCTGCCTCCGCCTCCTGCCACTAACTGTGGTTTCAGCTGACTACTTTGCCAGCCTCTGCGGCTACCCCTGGGGCCCGTGAGGATGGTGTCCTGACCTGGAGGCCTGCAGCAGGCTACGCAGGTGCCCGGCAGCCTCTTTCCTCAGTGTGCCCCACAGACAGCCGTGTCGTCTGCATGCACCTGGGGTACAGGGGAAGTGGTGAGACACAGAGAGGCTCAGCCCCGGGGCTGCCGCCCGGCAGAGCCAGGACAGCCAGCGGCAACCCAGGCAGCTGGGCCCCAGACTCCTTCTTCCCACCTGGGAGGCCCTTTCTGGGGCATGAGTGACCTTCCTCCCTCAGAGCTGGCCGCAGGCCCGCCCCCAAGGAGCCCCCTCACCTACCCCAGCAGGGGCCACATCCCCCACCATGGGCTGTCACAAGGTCTCCTTGAGGGAGGAACCTCAGGGCCTGCGTCCTGATGACAGGATATGGTGAGGACGCTAAGGGCTGTCCTGGACAGCGTGCCCCCTGCTCCGGAGAAACCCCAGTGCCACAGAGCTGACCCCACAGCCTTGCCACCCTGTGCCAAGGCCTATGTCCCCCAGATGTCCCCTCCCACTTCCACTGACCCAGGCCCCGAGGGGGAACCTCACCACGCCTGCACATGTACCCTAAGGGTCAGGCTGCAGCAAGAGGATCTGTGCCCTCAGCCCAGCAGGACGCCCCTCCCAGCCCCTGGGGCTGGGGCTGGCCCTCCGCAGGTGCTTGTCCTGGAGCGGACCCCTGGGAAGGGGAAGCCTGCTAAATGACAAGCCTCCAGTAAGAGGTGGCTGGGAGCTCAGCCCTCGGACGGTAACAGGTGACAGCTCCAGGGAGACGGGAAGGGAGTCGCTCCGTGAGGAACGAGCAGATAGGGGGACTGAAGCACCTGCCTCGCTGCCGAGAAGCATTTATGACTTGCAGAGTACATGAAGCAGCCTCCTCACGCTGCTCTGGCTCACCTGCCGGGCGCCCCCACCCAGGTTGCCCTTCCTGGGAAAGCGCAGACTAGAGCAGACATGGGTCTCCGGGATCTGCCTTACTGGCCACTGTGGGGATGACCCAGTACTGCCTCTTCCTGGCTAGTGACCCCGTAGCCTTGAACTGCCCTGTCCCCTCTCTCCCCGGCAGTCGTCACAGGCCAGAACAGCCTGCATGCCACGACACAGGCCATCACTGGAAATAATATCCTCACCGCTTGGGGCATTTCCAAAGCCTCGGGATGCTGGGGCTGTTCCTGTCTGAGGCGTAGCCAGGAGGCGCCCGCCAGGGGCTCGAGGTAAGTTGGAAACTGTGGCAGGGCTCCACCTGCAAACATGCTCAGACCTCCACACAGACAGGGCCCCCGCGGCCTGCCCCGAGGGACAGGTGAATGGACGGAGGCTGCATGTATCTTCATGGGGAGGCGGGGTGGCATCTAGTGCATGCACGCACTGGACACATGATCTCACAGGAACACCATGCTGTCCAGGAGTCAGCAGGGCTAGTTCCAGGTGGGAAACAGAGGCCCCTGGAGGTTGAATGCTTGCTACAGTCACACTGGGGGGAGCCCAGAAAGAGTAAGAAGCTATCCTTCCCGAGACATGCAGAGTCCCCACTGCTGAGCCCCCAGGGTTGGCAGTGGGGCAGGAGTTACTCACTGTGGCATCAGTGTAGCACAGGGACTTCCCAGTGTGGCAGCGGGCAGGGGCAGAGGCAGCCCTGAAGCCTCCCAGCAGAGCCCCCACCTTGCACGGCTACTCCACAGGCAGCTGGCAGCCAGGACTGCCAGGTTGGACGGGTGACCTGGACGGGGGCTCTCGGTCCCATGGCAGTAACACAGTGTCTCTCAGCAACTGGCCGGATCACCTGAACAGGCTGCAGAACTGCGGCCGTGGAGGTGTCTCCACCCACAGGGCTCATGGTCACATGTCTGCATGCCTGTGAGTTGCCGAGCCACAGAGGGAACCGCGGCAGCCGCTGCCAGGTGCCAGGCAGCTTCTCTGCCTCCTCTCTTCAGGAGTCCTGCTGACGAAGAGGCGGCTGGGGCACAGCTGAGCTGTGTGTATTTTCTCAAGACCACCCAGCAAATAAGTAGCAGAGAGGAGGCCAGACTCACCCCCAGCAATCTGTTCTGTCCACCTCACTGCGTCAGTTTCCCAGATGGTCCTGCCTCGGCCTCCTGGCCCTGGACTCTTCATCACCAGCATCTCGGTGAACACATCCTTGTCATCGCCTTGATCACCACCAGTCACCCCCACAGACGCCATCCTCTCAATGTCACCCCCGCCGCCACCATCCTCACCGTCACTGCAGCGCCATCATTTCTTCAGCACATTGCTTCTATATTAGATGAAACTCTCCACCGGCTCTCACTGGCCTGAAGATAAAAACCAGGGTCTTTGTCTAACACGTGAGACCAACTGCAGTCGGGACTCTGCTCACCTGCCTCCTCCGTCTCTGTGCCCCAGCCCACTGGCTTCCTCCTTGCTCCCCGAGGGATGTGTGACCCTTGCCCCCTAGGAACACTGATACCCCCTTTGCATACCAGCCAGATGTCAGTTCAAAAGACTTTTCTGGCAAGTGTTCCTGACTCTTAGAATGGATCAGAGCTCTCTGCCTTATATTCACATACTGCCCTTTATTTCTTTTATGCCATTTGCCACAATTTGTCTCGGTGTTTCCTTGTGTGGGTGGTGTCTAACTCTGCCATCAGATCAGCCCCATGGAGGCAAGAGCCAAGTCTGGCCTGCCCATGGCACACCCTTCATGCCTGTCAGCAGAGGGGCTGTGCAAGGCAGATTGATGATTACATGGCTCATCCTTGGGCCAGTGGGTCTAGACAAGGGGAAAGATGGGGAGGAAATTCCAGCTGAGAGATTCCATTTGAGCAGGGCTGGGGATAAGGGCCCTGGCACAACATATGGGCCCCCATTGTGGTGGTAGAAGGGATGGGGAGACAACTGCGCAGAGACAGACGAAACATCATTGGCAAGGACAGAGCTTACATGTGGCCGGCGGGGCCGGGAGGTGGCAGAGGTCACCCCATGCAGAAAAGGAATGTTCCTCCAGAGACAGGTCCCAAACTGCTCTTCCCGTCAGTAGACACGGAGATCTTCAAGGACTGTCTCTGCGATCCCAGGCGTCACAAACATACCGACATCTTCAGCATTAGCAGATTTCAATCCATATCAAGGAATATTGAAATGTTGTCCGCATCGCCTGGCTACACTCAGACTTTTTAGTAATTGAAAAATATATATTGATGAAATATAAACTAAAATTTGGAAGGCTCCATGGCCCCTTACTATGCGTCTCCTGTGTTCAGTGTGGGCCTGACTCTACCACACTGAGCCCCGCACTCCGGGCTGGGGCTGTTGTCCCCATTCAGATGGCAGTTGCTCCCCGGTGCACATGCCCAACAAGTCCCGGGCTGAACGCCGGAACGGACGATGGCACCTGGAGCCTGGCTGGGTCCATAGGTTGGCCCAGCGGGGTGGTCCTCTTGGCCCACAAGTGACCCAAGCACTTCCTGCCCCTCAGAGCCACCTGCCTCGCCTCCCAGCAGGCACACAAGCACACAGGGCTGCCGACTCCACAGGACAGTGAGGAACCTGTCCTTCCTTCACTCACTGGTGTAGCAGGTACTGGATTTTACTGGATTGCAGCACATAGGTGACCCCTTGAAAAGCCTCTCTAATCTGTGCCTGGAGCCCTCCTCTGACCACTGTGCCCATCCCCTCCTGGAGCCCCCGAAAGGCTTCACAAAGCCTGGAAAGCCGTCCCGGCTCCTGTCCCAGCCCGAGGAGCCCTCAGCTGCTCCTCTCTGCACGTCAGCGGCCTGGCGCCCTGTCCTGGGCACTGGCTCTGGCCCAGCATGGAGTCCTGTGGCTCTGGCAGAGTGCACCCACAGCTGGGCCTCAGTTCATTCCTGTGCCCGCTGCGCACATGCCCGCCCTCTCCTGCGGGGCCCTGGCCTCTCTGGCACAACGCCCTGCGGCTCCCTTTATCACCCAGCTCACACTCAGAATTTAGTTGCTCATTTATTTAACTTTAAAGACTACTATGCAACATTTTGTTCTTTCACTGTCTGTGCGGTCACCTCCTTCTGCTATTGCATTTTTCACTCGGTGTTTTACCTTGCAGGCCAGCACTGTTCCCACACAGATCCCATCCGTTCTCTGACCACACGGCCACTTGTCATCCTTTAGCTGTTATTTCCAGTATTATAAGCAGAGTAACAATGAGGCCACTAGAGCGAGTCTCTGGGCTCAAGTGTGCTGTTTCTGCAGCCGTGCCCGGCACCACTGTGAGGCTGACCGGTTCCTCCGCCAGACAACATGCAGGCAGGGTGGGGTGCCTTCCTTCTGGAAGTGGAAAGTAACACTGGTCACATCTGATGCCTGAATACCTGTGTATGGATTGAAGGCACCCAGAGGTGGTGGACAGGTGCTGGAGGGGGGCGAGGCTGCACAGAGGCCTGGGTTCGGTTTCCCTGGGGCAAGGCACCCACCACCACCACCCTTGAGCTGTGTGGCACAAACGAATTGCAGCCTCTGCCTCAGGGAAGCTCATGGTGCAGCAGGAGTGCGGACAGGGCAACAGAGGAAAACAGGGTCACTCAGAAGTCCCCACAAGGTGCCATGGGGATTCCCAGAGAGGTGAGTTTCCACTTGATGGAGAACATAAAGGAGGAGCTTTTGGGGTCCGGGAGGGGTACCCATAGGGGAAGGGGAAGGGAGCCATGGGTAAAATGAGACTAAGGCTGATGAAAAGAGCAGGTGCCAGGGAACCAGGTACCCCGCAGTGTAGACACCCTGATGGCAGCCCAGGTCTTGAGCCGCGAGCGGGTTAAGACAGTACCAGCGGTCAAATGCTGCCACCTCGTGGCGAAGCTCAGAGCAGCTCGTTCCTGCGGGGAAAAAAGGAGAAAGACTGCCCTGGGCAGGGAAATGCAGGAAGGCAAGGTGCTGTCCTGTTCCGGCACCTGCAGCGGCCACCACGGGTCTGGTGCGGGTCACACAGGCTCTGGAGCCCGCCAGCGGGGTCCCATCCTGCCCCTGCCTCTGCCTGCACGTCACTGCCTCTAGGTGATTCTGGTTTCTCACTGGTGAGGCAGAAATCAGGACAGCCCAGTCCCCTGGCGGCCGGGCCCCGCCCCCAAGCCCCAGCCTGCACAGGTGCCTGCTCACAGCACCCTCTGCCTCCCCAGGCCCCGGCCCCTGGTGCTGAAACCCGCCCCGCCCCAGGCTGGACAGCCTACCTCCGCGCTCCCTTGGGGAGCTGGGGATGGGCAGTTGGGTGGGCGAGAGGACACGGGCCACCTGCAAGCAGGCCTTGGCGTGCATCTGGGCCCTCTGTTCCCTCTGTCAGGCTCAGTTTTTGGTGGATTCAATTCAGTCACCTTCAAACTGGGAAGGCTGAGGGTTGTGAAGACGACATGCAGGAGGCACGGAGGCGTCTGTCTAGCACTAGACATGTCCCCCTCCCCCAGCACACCCCACACACTCTCAGAAGCAGCCCAGACAGTGAGCAGCCAACCTCCTGCACCGCACCTTCTCCCAAGGCCTTCTGACCCCCACCGTGCCCTAGAAACACATTCCCCCTGCCTCTCAGTGGGCACTGCCTCTGGCCCCAGCCCACCTGCCCGGCGGCCCCTCCGGCTTCCACCTCGCCGCGCTGCCCCACACCCAGGCCCCTTCCCTCGAGCCAAGTCACTGTTTACCCTGCCCTCCCCACCTGTCCACTGCCTCTTGCTTCCCTTCAAAATTCTCAATCTTTTCCTTGATGTCTCTGACTCTATGAGGGAGAGGAAATGACCTTTTTTTTCAGCTTTTTATGGTGGTGATATATACATAACATCTCACCAGAAGGCCAAGTTAAAGAAGAAATCTCTGAATTACTTCACTGAATAAAGTTATTTCACTGAAACCTAGTAAAATCCTCATGAGGGCCCCAAAGTCCTTGAGAGGTTTGTGTCAGCAGAAACACTGTGATCTTGCACTTCAGGAACAGAGAAAACAAAATTACCCCAGGTTTCTCCCAGCAGCAAGCTGCTCCTCAGATGCAAAAACTTTGTGCTATTTTCCATTAAAAAGGACATGATAAGTGTCCACAATTACTATTTTCTTTATGATTCTCACAGTAAGTCTCCATTATTTCAAATGAACTTAGAACAATATTTTCAAGTTCTTCTTTAAAATAGAGTAATTGTGATTGCAGCTGTAATTCATAATAAAATGACCAATACAGGAAAATTTAGAACTTCACTCATAAATCTCTGAAGCACTAGAAACATTCTCTTACAGATTTTGAAGAATTTCTGTTAAGGTTAAGAAACATGAAAGAAGAAGAAAAAGTAAAGAAGAAGTGTCTTGCCAGTGGGTTTCAGCCCCGGGCAAGTTTGCTGTGGATTCACTGTGACTAAAGAAAATGACAGTAAAATGTTCTTGGGGTGAAAGGGTTATACCCAAGCTTATTTCCAGGTGGCAGGTCAGTCATTAAAATCCCATTCACCCAGAACGAGTCTGCAGGCAGCAAGCCCGTCTCTGCCTCTGGGCCCCTCTCCTCGGCGCTGCCACCACTCCAGCCTCTGCTCTCCTGCAGCCTTGCAGCCCTGCCACCGTGTCGTGCCCAGAGCACTGGGTGGATCTTTTTATATAGAGTCAACAGCCATGTATTGCCCACAGGTGTGCAGTGAGCTAGTCAACCAGGGCCAGGTGAGAATCCTGGCCACAGGAACTCTCATTTTATCCACAAGGAGGAAAGAAAAATGAGCAAAAATGTTCAGAGGGGATAAAAGGATCAAGTATTTTTTAAAAAAGAAAGAACAAAGAAGAAGAGGAAGGAAGGGTGGCTCCAAGTCCAAAGGCAGAGGCGCAGAGCTTGTTCCCAGGCCTCGAAGCCGACAGTCCACTCACTGGCTGTAAGACCTTCCGGACGGCTTCCTTCCCTTTCCTGGCCGTCTTGCCCCCCTTTGAGCAGTTACCCTGTGCCCGGCCCACAGCGTGTGTTCACCAGGGTGGGGAGGACGTCCCTTTACACAGGTCCACACATGGCGAAGAGCTGTGCCGAAGAGCTGGGTTTACTGGGGAACAGCGAGGAATTCCTCCTCACCTGACTCACAGGACTCAGGTGATGCGATTCGGACTTGCAGCTAATGAGATGGAACTTGGATTCAGGTGATGATGCTGGTTCACAAACTGGGCCTCATACACAGTGGGCAGGCAGACCGGAGAAAGAGGCAGGCCCCTCCAGACGGGTGGGCGGCAAGGTTAATGCACAAGGGGACTTGCCCAGGAGGCTGGTCTCGGGTACACCTCCACACCCACCTGTCAGAATCTTCAAGTCTGTACAGAGGCCTTAGCTGGGTCTGGTCACCTACGCCACCCAGAGGGTCTGGACGCCGCCTGCTCTCTAACCGTATGACCTTGGGGTTGCTCCTACCGTGGGAAAGGCAGGCAGGGCACACACGCTGAGGACAGGGAAGAGGATGAGGAGCCTCCGACGGCCAGGGGCCAGCGCTCTGGTCAGTCGGCGGTCGTGTCCTCTTGATGACCTCCTCTCACCGACGAGACTTTGAATTTTGAGTTGATACTGTGACGGGATGAGACTCTTCGGAGGCCAGAGGTATAGTGAATGGGTTTGCAGTTTGTGTAGGTCATGTCGTGGTCATTAGAGGCTAAAGGTTGGACCGCCTCCCCCACGACCTTATCCTTGCATAACCCCCTCCTGCTGAGGGTGGGGGAGACCTGTGAGTATAAGACCCCCATGATCATGTCAGTCTGCGCTGCGCGAGTACTTTAAGAAAGAGATGCCATCCACAATGTGCGTGACCTAATTGTGTGAGTGGAGGAAAGGGGCACGAATGAACAACTGAACGTCGAAGGCTGGCATTCCTGGAACCATCCACCCCTGACTCTTATGCACACCCCTGGGCATACGCCGTAAGGACCCTGATGTCTGCGCCATCGGGCCGGAGTCCCTGGACGGAGGGCGCAGTGAACCCTCTGCCCTGCCCCAGGCCGGGCGCCCCCGCGGCCACCTGCCCTCCGGCTAACCACACGGGCTGCGGTCGCAGCAGGGGCTCCCTGCGGAAGGAGGCGGTTTCTGGGTCGCGTGCCGCTCTGCCCTCCTGGACCAGGATGCAGCCCGGCTGATGGTGAGGGCCGGGGACCCTGGCTCAGGCCCTGGCTGGCAGGGGGCCTGCTCTGGCTGCGCCCCCTGCTGCTGTGCCCTCAGGTCACGCCCACCGCCAGCACCAAAGGTGAGGGGTGGGGCGGGGGGCCACCCTCCTGTAGGCCGGCACTCCCCCAACCCCGGGTCTCTGGCGGGCACCGCAGCGGGACAGGGAGGCTGAGGCCACCGGGACACCCGCTCTTCCCTGCCAAGGCCTTCTCCCTAGAGCTCCAGCCTCAGTCCGAGGGCCCAGGGGCTGCGCTGGCCTGTCCATCAGCCTGCACCCTCTTCATCTTAGTAATGGAAGAGGACCACCTCGGAGGGACTTCGTCAACAGGGTGTGCGCCACTTGGCCTCAGTCTCCCCAGCCTGCTGGGCTGCGGTGGGAGGGGTGTGAGCACCCGATCATCAGTGCCCTGAGCAAATAGCTCCCCTCTGTAGCTCTCAGTGTGTGGGTGCCAGTCAGGTGGAATTGGGTCTGGGGAAGCGCCTGGGGGACAGTCCTCCGCAGCGCCTGCCTCCTCCTCTCCCCCAAACCCACTGCCACCACCAGCCACACCAGGTGGTCCTCTGTCACACGGGCCTTGTCACTTCACCCTGGGCCTTGGGTCCCCAAGCTGCGGAGTGCCAGGAGTGGCTCAGAGGGGCTGACCTTTGGAGACACCAGATACGGCATCTGGAACGCAGATGCTGGGTTGTCTCCACAGCGTGTGTGAAGCCAGCAGTGGCCAGGAGGATCTTTGGTGGACAGAACGCACCTGACTGGTGATGGCCGTGGCAGGCCAGCCTCCTCTACCGCGGCAGGCACATCTGCAGAGCCACCCTCATCGACGCCTTCTGGGTGGTCTCAGCGGCCCACGGCTTCCAAAAGTGCGTCTCCCCCCACCTGCTTGTGCCATCTGGCTGGCTGCTGGGGCCCAAGGGGGAAGCATACAGGGCGGGCAGAGCAGAGGGGTGGGGGCTGTCCTTTGTTCATAGGCTTTGTTTGGGGTTAGGGCGCCACCACCAGGGGCTCTCTCTGTGTGCTGTTGCCCTCCACCCTTGACCCTACAGTCCCCTCTTCCTAGAAGGCCACCCTGCTTACCACCTGCTCCAGCCTGCTGTCTCCTCCACTGGCACAGAGGCCGGTTCCCTCACACACCCCCCACCCCTGGGGTGGCCCTCCAAACCCTCCGCACACTTTGGTGATACTTACCAGGACGTGTGGCTGTCTCAGCCGCATGTACGGCACTTTTAAATAGCTAAATGGAAATGAACTCTGATTGTGCTTATCAATAAATGCTGGAAAATGAACTTGAGTTCCAAATTGCCTTCAGTCCACTCTTCATTTTCCCTGAACTTTAAGAACTTAAATCCTGTCCCCACTCAGAGTGGACCCTGGGTTCTGTGTCTGGCCAGCTCTCCAGTCCCACAGGTTTCAGTGCACCTCCCTCCTTAGTGCACGAGGTGGTGGCTGCACAGTGTCCTGGCCACACTTGGCTCTGATTCCAGGTGGTCAGTCAGATCCACGGTCCCAGGGCCCCCACTTCCCAGGCTGGGGGGCATCAGCCAGGACCCCCTATGGAGGAGCATTCTGTCCCCCTCCAGCCAGGGTGTCCAAAGGCTATCTCAGCACAGCTGCCAGAGCTTCCCTGGGCCCTGAGTGCCTTGCACACCCCAGTGCGGTCCTCTCGGGAGCTGTCCTGGGACTCTGCCCATCTAACTGGCACCTGCTTCTTCCTATCACTTCTGTAGAACTATGCGCCTAAGGGAAGCTGGGTCATCACTGTCCCCACAGGCCAGAGTGAGACATGAAGTAATGACCTCTGTCCTGGGAGACGGGATGCAGACAGTCAGAGGAGTGGGCTGCTCAGGGTTATCCTGGGCTGACCCTGCCCAGAGGGAGTGGGGCACACATGTCACTCTGAGCCAGAAGGGCGGGACTACTGGCATCAGCTGGCTTAGACCCCATGTGCATTCTGTTCATTTATTCGGTACCCGTGGGTGCCAGGCGCCACGGGAGGCCCAGCAAAGAGGACGCACAGGTGCATGTCCCACCTGGAAGCTTCTTGTCCTGTCAGGAAAGTGAGACACAAGCCCAAGCTCCGGGATGCAGGAATGTGTGAGGAGGGATACCCTGGGTCCCGCAGAGGAGGGGCTGGCAGCTGGGGGGCCCTGGGGAGAGGGGCCGGGCTGGGGAGTGTGTGTTGATGGACGGCACAAGCAGGCTGGAAAGCTGCTACGTCCGCGAAACAAAGGAGGTCTGGTCCATGTGCTCCTTGGTTCGCCCTGCAAAGACTGGATGGGTGCCTGTGCCCGGGTGGGGACCAGCCTTCTGAGAAGTCGGTGTGTGAGGATGGGGAAGGTGGGGGCACGGGCCACTCTGGGCTGGGAGATGAGGTCTTTGGGAATTACTCCAGGCCACGGGACCTTCCAAGGGTTCTAGTTAGAGCTGGAAATGAGCTGGGCTTGCACTACAATAAAGGGGTGTGGTTTGGTGTGCCCCCACTGCCTCTTCCTAGCACTGGGGTGTGCTGGGAAAGCCACTGGAAACTTTCAAAGGACGGATGCCCTGAGGCCATGGGCGGCTCTCATGCCCCCCTCCAGAGGGTATTAGGAAGGGTGGAGAGAGACCTCTGCAATCATGATGGGGTCTGTTGCTTACCTGGCGGGTGGCCAGGGCTCGGCAGGCAGGACCCCGGCACTGTCCCAGCACATGAAGGAGACAGGCAGTGATGCAGCCTCCCCACGACAGGTCCCACGATGCATCAGACTACTGGATCCTGCTTGGGTACCATCAGCTGCGAAATCCCACTGAGCACAGCCTGCATGCGGCAGTGAATAACCTGATCATCCACGCGGAGTTTAACAAGCCCTACTTCATGGCGAGGGACATTGCCCTGTTGCAACTGCACCTGGCTGTGAATTTTACTCCCTACATGCTCCCTGCCTGCCTCCCAGGGCCTAGCTTGCACATACGTATTCATACCACCTGCTGGACCACCGGCTGGGGTATGTGCACTGAGACCGGTGAGCAGGGCTGAGGGCCACCGAAGAGGGCGGGGTGGGGGCCATTGTGGGGCCCTTTCAGCCCTGATAGCATGTCCTTCTAAAACTCAGGTCTTCTTCAGTCCGTGATTCAGAAGTTCTGAGCATCTCCAACTTTTGGAATCAGGAACTGGGGCTCTTTGCCTCGAGCCATTCAGGATTCCACCCTGACTTGTGGGTCCTGCATGGGCCAGGCCCCTCCCGGGCTTCACCAAACACCTCTTGGGCTTCCCAGAAAGGTATGTGGGGCAACAGTAAGGAAATGACGGCAGGCCTGCTTTCTGGCCTGGGAGGTGAAGTTGGGGCATTTGGGGCTTAATATTTACCTCTGTGAACCTCACTTCCCCCATTCTGCCAGCTTGCTGCACTTGCATATTTTTAGATTAAGAGAAGAAAGTGTTGGGCAAATATTTTTGCACAAGGTTGACTGCTTTTTCATTTAGGAAAATAGAACACCGAGTAAAGAGGAAAATGTAAATTTGGCATGACTTACAGGGTCGTGATCTGGCAGAGCATCTCGGTGGAGGCCCTGGGGGCTGGACCGTCTTTGCTGTGCAGGCCAGTGCCAGCATCCCTGCTCCGGGCTGCGCAGTGTCAGCCATGCTGACTAGTCGCAAGAACAGCCAGCCCTCCATCATTTCCAAAATGCCCTCCTGGGACAGATGGCCCCTCATTAAGACCACTAGCAGAGCAAGGCGGGGAGTTGGGGCACGGAGCGGCCACCAGGACAGGGAGCAGCAGGAACCAGCGGGAGGCTGGGCCCACCCGCATCCTTCTGGCCCACCCGCGGCCCCTCCACCAGTATTGCTGGCTCTGAGCTGCCCCTGATGGCATGAGGCCTGCACGCACAGTGCACCATGCCCGTCTCTGTGCTGCCACGCGAGGATACCACTCAGACCTGTGAGCAACATCTGCAAATAGAATCCGCATGGAAAGGGTCCACAACAGGTGTTCCTTGATGCACGGCCACCACTTAGCTGTCCTCACCTAACGCCCGCTGGAATCGTTAGGCACAGCACTGCTATGCCCTGGCCAAGCCAGGATGCCCGCCGTCCACCCTTTATGTCTCTACTTCTGTATCCACATCACAGCCAGATTAATTGTCCTGAAAACCTCAGTAGACCCTGTGGTAGTTTCCCAGCGTGCTTAGAATGAAACCCAACCCCACAGTGCAGTGAGCAGCCTCCCACTCTGGACTTGCTCTGAATTTGCAACACCTTTTCCACCCCTGTCTCCCCGCCTCGTGCCCTGCTGACCCCTCCTGGCCCTCTCCCCATGGGCGGCACCCCCTTGCCCTCTGGTCTGCCCTGATGTCTTCCCCTCTTCACTGGGTGCCCGCTGAGAGGCTCCCCTACCAGTCAGCTAGGGTCAGTGGCAACACCCCAAGGTGCCCCCACCTCTGACTCCCTGTCCCCTGCAGAATTCCTGCCTGCGCCCTTACAGTTGCAGGAGGGAAAGGTTGGCATCATGGACCCCAACATCTGCAGCATGTATTTCCGACCGCCCGACTCCACCAGCAGCCAGTATGCTGTGTGCCGGGGACCTCTTGATGGGAAAGTCCACTTGCCAAGTGGGTGAGCCGGGCTCCACTCCTCCCACCGGGACATGCACTCTCTCTCCTCCTGGGCCATCTGTCCCCTTTCCTTCTGTGGACCCTACCTTGTCCCTGCCCTTCTTTTCCTAAGCCCACCAGTCTGAAGTGTCAGAGCTACAGCTCAGAAGCCCCCAAAGAGTACTAGTCCATTCCATCTGTTTTCTGCCCGTCTTTAAAACACTTTGTTGAAGTATGGCACCCATAGAAAAGACACGGTACACAACGTGTGCCTCTTAGGAAATGGACACACTCATGCGACTCACACACACAGGGTCCTCCTCCTCCCCTCCTGCCCCAGACTCCAGGCCCCCCGCCACGGCTTGGAAAACACACAGGCTGGTGGGGCCTCACAGTCACGGGCTCACACAGTGAGGCACTCTGTCACTGGCCTCTTTCAGTCACCACTGTGTTCGTGAGATGGCGCATCCCACACGCAGCTCGCACTGTTGGCCGCGTCGCTGTGGAGTGCCCCGCTGCGTGAACATCCTGTGATCCTCTTCATCCACTCTGGCTCCGGGCACGTTTGGGTAGTTCCCACTGGAGACCGTTGCAAAGCCCTGCTGTGAAGGTGTGAGGGTGCGGGTTTCAGTGCACACGGCCCGTGCGGGTGGGGCCCAGCCCTGGGACTCGGGAGAGCGGCCTTCCAGCCCGCCTGTGCCCCGTGCTTCCCCACCAGCAGCGGGTGAGGGGGCCCCTTGCTGCTCCTGGCCTCTAGCCCTTCACATTGCCCATGGTTTCCATTGTAACCACTGCATGTGATTTTTAATTTTCATTTTTCTGAATAATGAAGAGAAGCACTTTTTCATCTGTGTATTGACTTTTTTTATAAAGTGTCTATTCAAGTTTTTTGTCATTTCTGTGGCACTGTCTTTCATATTGAATTGTAGGAGAGGGGTAGATTACTGGATATATGAATGATGGACATCCTCTCCCACTTTGTGTAAACCTTTTATTTTTTGGTGGGAAAACTGAGGCCCAGAGGAGGGAGTGGGTGGCCCAGGATGACGGAGCATAAGCACAGTCACGCTTGGGGCAGCCATGCCCCACCCCAGAGCTGTGCCCCCTCCTCCTACAGCCCCTTCTCACCCTCCTGCCCCTTTTCCCCAGCCTTCTCCCTCCCTCTTTGGCCGACTCCCATAGCGCAGAAATATTCCACCATGCCTCCCAGCCTAAAGCCCTGACATGCACCTTCCCCCCTCAGAGCCCTCCCGCTGCCCTGATTCTCAGCCTGCCTCCCCAGCAGAGCCCGGTCTGGGGCTGCCGTTCCACTTCTTATCACACTAAAAGCTGCACAGCAAAGGAAACATCTGCAAAATGAGAATGCAACCTACTGAAGGGGAGAAAATACTTGCAAATGATATATTGGATAAGGGGCAAATATCCAAAATACATAAAGGATTCATACAAATTAAAAACCAAACAACTGAATTAAACCAAATAAACTAAGTAACCCAATTAAAATATGGGCAGAGGATCTGAATAGAACTTTCCAAAGAAGACATACAGGTGGCCAACAGATACATGACAAGATGCTCCACATCCCTAGCCACCAGGGAAATGGACATGAGACATCACGTCGTCAGAATGTCTAGCATCGACAAGATAAGAAATAACAAGTGTTGGCAAGGATGTGGAGAAACAGGAACCTTGGTGCCCTGCTGGTGGGATTGCAAATCCGTGTGGCCACTATGGAAAGCAGTATGGAGGGTCCTCAACAAGCTAACAGAAATACCATTCAACCCAGCAAAATTCCCTCCTAGGCATTTTCCTGAAGAAAAGAAAATCACTAATTTGAAAAGATAAATACACTCCTGTGTTGATTATAGCATTATTTACAATAGTCAAGATACAGAAACAATCTAAGCGTCCCTTGATTGATGAATGGATAAAGACGATGTGATATATATATACATGACGGAATATTACTCAGTCATAAAAAAGAGTGAAATCTTGCCATTTGTGACAAGGTGAATGGCCCAGAGCCCTCTGCCTTGCGCGGACCTCAGCCCTCCTCCCGCTTGGTGCCCCACAGCAGGCACCGCCCGTCAGGCTCTGCGGGCCCCTCCTCTGCCTCCTGTCCTTTTCCTCCTCCTTCTGACCACACACCAGAGACTCGCCCCTCAGCCCTCACACTGCTCTGCTTGCCTTCCTCCATTTCTGCATCAGTGGACAGAAAGGGGCAGGTGTTTCTTGCCTGTGTCACCTCTCCTGCCAAGGTCGTGTCCTCACTGGCTTCCCCGAGCAGGTCGGTGCCTGCCCCTGGCTGTGCCCCACCCAGAATTGCCCTCCAGAATTGCCTTCACCCCCCGATCCACCATGGCTGATGGGGGCTGGGGCCCCACCCACGCCCAGGGTGTTGGCCATCTGTGCCTGGACCTCCCAGAGTCAGGCCTGCTCATCCTGCTGGTCCTGGCTCAGAGAGGCCCTCTGATGGCCCCGTCAGAGCAGCCCTTCCCAGCCCCTGGGCCTCTGCTCAGCACGTCGTGTCCCAGACGTGTGTTGTCTGTGGTGCTACCCTTCTCCAGGCCTACAGGTCACAGGCTGTGTTTTAAGTCAAGTGCAATGGGCCCTGGCCTCTGGGCTGTGGTCTCGCCCTAGGTCAGTGGTCCTCAGTCTGTGCCCCTTGTGTGCACAGCCCTGTCCTCCCTTGGTCTCCAGGGGCCTGACCCACCACCCACTGTGGACTTGTCATGGCCCACAGTGACTGAGGTTTGGCTAAGCCAGGACTTGCTGGCCCAGCACTGAGCCCATAAACCATGTCCTGAGCTGCCCCCTGCGCACATGTCTGAGCCACAGAATCTGAACTACTCAGCAGAATTCTCAGAAGGGCCTTGTGAGCACAGCTCCCCAGCCTGAACCTACGGTGACAGGGAGCAGCCCCCAGTTGTTGCAGGTCCAATGTGTCCAAAGTACCATCAGGTCCTCTTCCCAACCCTGTGCTCGCCCAGACCGCCCCACCCCTCCCCGCAGGTGAGAACAGTGAAGCCCCCGGGCGCATGGGCACCAGAGGCTGGCTGGCTCTAAGCCCTCTGCACTCGTGAAGAGATTTGCTGCCCGCTCTCCAGCGCCTGGAAGCAAGGAGAAAAGCGTTCCCTCCCCTGAAAGCAGATGCAGGCTGGGAGTCCTCGGCAGGGCTCCTGGGCCCTGAGGTGCAGGCCACCCCTTGGTCTGTTCAGATTTGGGACACTAGCCACTCACTGTCCCTAGAGCTGCCACTTTCCTTCAACCGGTGGTGGCCTCATGCTGGCGCTGCTGCATTTCTCTCCCTTGGTGACTTCTGCCTTGTCCCTCAGGCCACCAGTTCCCAGGGCCCCCACCTCGGTGGATGCATACATATTTCGCGTTCACCCCGCGGACTTGCCGAAACCAGCTCCACCCAGCACGTTTCCCGGTCACCTGCAGCCAGCCTCTGCACGGTTGCCCGGGTTTGTTCTCTCTACAGACTGGGACTGAGGCCTGCACAGCTAAGCGCCTTGTCTGAGGTCACGTGGGCAGTAAATGGTAGAGCAGGAATTCAACCCCAATCTCCTGAGGAAGCCCCGAGGCCTTTGCTCCCTGGTGTGGCCCCCTAGGGGCTCTGGGTGCTGCGTGACAATCTCTCCAGGCTCCCCTTGAGAGGCTTGGGCTGACCTGCCCCAGATGTGGCTCGAATTCCCCCTGATCAGTGGCAAGGAACTGTGCCAAGGGACAAGACTGAGGTCAGGGTGCAGGCTGACGGGCACGACCAGTGAGCCTGGGACTCGGGGTCTGGCGAGCATGGCCCTGCCACGGGCTTCACCGGACCCACCCGCAGGAGCTCGCAGGGGCCGCTGGCCCCCACCCCAAAACCAAGCCTGGATGAGCTGGGGAGGTGAGAAGAAAATGTGGGTTTCAGAAACCAAAATTAATGAGAAAGCCTAGAGAAAGTGCGGTAATGCTGAAGCGGACTGCAGCTGGGGAAGAGGGCCGGGCACTGAGAGGCGGGGCTCCGGGGAGGCCTTTGACAGGCACCTCCTGCACATCTCTGGGACAAGGCCTGCCTGACCCTCCCCAGGCATGTTGCAGGGTGGCCCTGTCAATGGCTGTATCGGTCCCACCAGCCACCCTGGAGCACATGCTGCTCAGGCCCCTAATTCTACAACCAAGGGCAAGTGGCTGGCTGGGGACACTTGATCCTTCCCTGTACTGAAGCCCTGGCTCAGGAGCTGCCCAGCGGGTGGCAGTACAGAAGGAAAGTTATGAGTGGCTCTGTGGTGCCTCGGGCCCTCTGCCCTGGGGTCACCCTCCCTTCTCCTTGAACTTTTCAGAGCTTCACCCTTTACTGGGGCACAGGATGCCACAGAGCCATGCACAGCTGCTAAGCCACGGGGAGTAGGAACGGCTACACACCTGCGGAGGGATTGCCGCACGAGGGGTACAACAGACCGGACGTCATACACTATTTGAGATAAAGCTATTGGAAGAAGAGATAGACCAAAAAACTCTGATAAGTCCCCTTATGGATATAGAAAAGTATTATTAGCAATAAGACCCAAGACCACAGGAAAAAAACAAGTCAAAATATTAAATATGGAAACTGTAATAGTTGAACTAAAGAGCAGAGCAACTGGGCCCGTGATACACATTTCTTTGTGTCATTTCTTTGTGTGGATGTGACTGAGCCCCTCCTCAGAGCTGCCACACGTGAGGTAGCATAATTGTAGAGTGTCTATTTACAAATGATCTTGTTTCACCACCAAGGGATGGCCGGGCTGTGAGGAAGGGACAAGGCGCAGGGCAGGAGACCCACACAAGCAACAGAAACAGAGATTTGCCACCCCAAGGCCCTAGGGACGGGAAAGGGACACCACGCTGCTTGAGGCTACTTGAGGGCAGCAGGGACCTGCAGCTGGGGGCACGGCTGGAGAGGAAACCTCACAAAAGGCATTTTCATGGAAATAAATACCCTGACCTCTTTATTCCCTCCTTCAGATCTTCAGCTGGGGCTCTGCATTGGCCACAGGAGCCTGTCATGCCTTCCCAGAGCCCACATCCACCCCACACACACTGGGGGCAAACCGGAGACGACTGTCACAGGTGGTCTGGCTTATCTGGATAAACACTTCTGCTAAGAAAAAAGAAAGAAATGAAAATTTTTTTATTAATTCATTTAAAAAAGTTATTCAGAAAGGCATTGAAGAGGTGAAAAGAGAGAGATGGGGTCTGCCAGGCCAAATTCTTGGGGAGAGCCTGCAACCAGAGTAGGATCAGAATATCTGAGACCCAGAGTCATTCTTGCCGCAAGGGCGTTCTTAGAGCGCATAACTGGCCCTCGGCGGACACCTGCAGAGGCAGCAGGAAGGAGCTGTATTATCAGCGTCCTTCAGAGAGCCGGCTGGATATCTACAGCTCTACAGCGCATATATGAGAGCTGCATCTATAGCATATATGCAGAGAGAGACATCTATAGCATAGAATGTATACAAACACATATATTCATATCTATACATTTATTTATTTATTTTAAGGAATTGGCTAATATGATCATGGAGCAATCCAAATTATCAGCAACCCCAAATCTGCAGGGTGGGCTGGCAGCCTGGGGCCCCAGGAAGAGATGATGCTGCAGTTTAAGTCTTTATTAACCACACTTCTTATTTTCTATATTTCATGATGATTGGACATCTTGGGGTGGGGGGTCTTGCTGGCGAGCAACAGGCTGCCCATTCTTAGAGATAATCAACTGTGAACCTATCTTTCATATGCAAACCATCCAGCCCCAAGTCCACACCCGCGGAGACCACCCTGACCACCTAGGGCCTGCTGACCTCATTCAAACCAGCCAGTTGGAAGCTGTCGCCCTGCCCAGCCTCGCTTTGTCCACAGAAACCACAGTAAAGCCTCTGGGCTCTGCATTCTCCTCGTTTCTGCTTCAGTCTCCTGACCAGCCTCTTCAGGTGGGGCTGCGTGGTGTGGCACGGCCCCTCCTCTGGGGCCATGTAAGTAATGAAGATTTTCCCTCAAAGGCATTAGCCTCTCCATGTCATCATTTAACCTCTGTAAGTTAAAATTCCACAGATACAATTAATACAAAGTCCTAAGACAGTCAGGCCAGAGACCCATGAAAAGACAGTTCAAGTTTGAAGGTAGCCTGCTGGCAAAATACCTTCCTGCTCAGGGACAGTCAGTCTTTTACTCTATTCAGGCCTTCGACTGAGACCCACCCATGTTGTGGAGGGCAATCTACTTCACTCAAAGCCCAGTGATTTGTTTGTTTTGTTTTTTAGATTCCATGTATATGTGAAATCATATGGTATTTGCCTTTATCTGACTTATTTGCTTAGCATGATACCCTCTAGGTCCACCCACATGTCACAGACGGCAAGATTTCCTTCTTTTCTATGGCTGAGCAGTATTCCATTGTATGTACCACATCTTTATCCATTCGTCTATCAGTGGGCACCTGGGGTAGTTCCATATCTTGGCCATTGTAAATAATGTTACAATAAACATAGGGGTGCATATATCTTTTAGAATTAGTGATTTTGTTTTCTTCAGATAAATTACAGGAAGTGGAATTGCTGGGTCAGAGGGTATTTGTAGTTTTAGTTTTTTGAGGAGCCTCCCTACTGCTCTCCACAGTGGCTGCACCAGTTTACATCTCCACTAACAGTGCATGAGGGCCCCCTTTTCTCCACATGCTCACCAACACGTGTTATTTCTTGTCTTTTGGATAGTGGCCATTCTGACTGGTGAGGGGGATACCTCATTATGGCTTTAAATTTGCATTTCCCTGATGACTAGTCATGTGGAGCATCTTTTCATGTGTCTGTTGGCCATCTGTATGTCTTCTTTGGAAAAATGTCTCTTTAGGTCCTCTGCCCATTTTTTATCAGATCTTTTTCTTTTTTCTTTTTTGGTGTTATATGAGTTCTTTATGTATTTTGGATATTAGCCCCTTACCAGATACATATTTGCAAATATGTTCTCTCATACAGTAAGTTACCTTTTTGTTTGCTGATAGTTTCCTTTACTGACCACCGATTTAAGTGCTCATGTCATCCAAAAAGTACTCTTACAGAAAAGTCCAGAATAATGTTTAACTAAGTATCTGGACGCTATGACCCAGGCAAGCTGTTACATAAAATTAACCATCTCGGGAACCTTATGGAAAACACACCCTACATTACACCGCGATCCCAAATTGCCAAACAGGATAAGACACAGTATTTACCCTCAAGCCCAGGGGCCTGCAGGGGAGGCTGCACTGGCACTGAGACAGAAGGAGAAGGTAAAGGAATAGATTTGCACCTGAAGTTCGACTAGCCATGAATCTGTCTGGGGACATCAAGCTGTGAATGTGGTTTGCAGTAATCTGTGACCCACAGGGCTCCAGGAACCTGGCAGAAACAAAGGCAGAGCCGCTCTAGAAGGTGGTACATGTGTTCCTGGTGTAAGGAAATAGTATCTGCAACAACAATAATCAGCATGTGGTCACACATAAATGACCACAAAAGGAACTCCCTTAATAAGAACCAGAAGATAGAAAGAGAAAGCAGAAATGGACAAAGGATTCAGACTTTGTTCAGTGCCAAAGGTTATAAAATATCTCTACTTACTACCCTGTATTTGTTAGCTTTTACTGAATAACAAATGACCTCAAAACTACCCGCTAGGCACGCCACTTCCAGCATGGCTCTTAGGACCAACTTCCTAATGAAATTGGTAAAGATTGTTTTTAAAAAATTAAAGTCTCCAGAAATGGTCTTACGGGCATCTAGCAAATTAAGAAAAACGTACTCAAGAATACCTACAAAAACTTAGTACTAACAGCAAGAGTTTGTGGTATTTGAGCCACAACCTGCCTCCTCCCTCTTACTCCCAGCTCAGCATGAGACGACGGCCACTCCAGGTGGCTTCGCCTGAGGACACAGGGCTCCAGGCTCCATATCCATCCAGCTGCCAGTCAAAGGGTTACAGCCTCCTCTTGAGAGAGGCAGGATGCTAGCATTCTTCACCCTGTCCCCAGCTGCTTGTTATAGAGGTGACATTCTGAGCAAGCGTAGCCAAGAGATTGGGGCTCCCCTCCATCTAGCTACTACTCTGGAAGAAGGCTCTACCTTGGGTATGGTGCACTAGAAATACTGGAGCCCCAACTTTCCTTAACCTGGCTTGTAAACCAAAGTGTCTATGCCCAGACTGGCAAAGCCAAGATGAGCTGAAGCTGCCATGCTTCCTCTGCCACATCACGGAGTGTCCAGCTCCTAGCAGGGTGACAGGGAAGTGTGCCTGCCCCCAGCCTTAGCTGTGGAGTTCTGACCCAGAGATTTTGCCCAGGGAGAGAAGCAGGTCATACAACAAAGAGGTCTGAAGCTCTTCCCAAAC